AACGTCTTTTACTAGATTGTTTTAATGACTGGACTAAAGCCTATGAAGAGGGCAAGAATGCTGACGTTATTTACTTTGATTTTCAGAAGGCATTTGACAAGGTCCCTCACGATTTGCTCTTCAAAAAAATGGTTCAATTTGGATTTCACCCTCTTGTTGTAAGATGGATTACTGAATTCCTTAAATAATAGAACCTTTCAAGTTATGGTGGGGAACTCATTTTCTTCAATTCGCACAGTGAAATCAGGCGTGCCTCAAGGTGGCGTGCTTTCCCCGGTACTGTTCAATATATTTACTGCTGATTTCCCACGCCTTTTCACGGGTCTCAACATCACGTGTAACCTTTATGCTGATGACATTAAAATTTATAAGTTGCTCCAAGGCAATGGTCCTGATGCCGAACTTCAGCTGGCCATAGATAAAGTGCTTCAATGGTCTAAAGTTAATCAACTTCCTCTCTCTACTGAAAAAACTAAAGTTATGTGTATTGGGAGGCTCCCACGTAACCCGTCATACCTTCTGGATAATTCGATACTGAGTGTTGTCTCTGATGTTCGTGATCTCGGTTTCCATTACGATAGAACGCTCGGCTTTTCAAATCATTATAAATCGTTTGGTGGCTAAGGCCCTTCGTCGGATCTTCAATATCTTCAGAGCACTCAGAACTAGAAATCCCAAGGTTCTTTTGAAAGCTTATAAGATCTATGTCCGCCCCATTCTTGAATCGGGGACTACTGTCTTTAATCCTCACAGTAAGAAAGATATTTGCGCCTTAGAGGGTGTCCAAAACAACTTCACTCGTAAGCTGATGCTTCGCTGCTTCCACTTGAATTACTCCGATATACCTAGCGGAAAAGAGCGATGCAAACAGTTAGGTTTGAAATCCCTTGAATGCAGGAGGAAACGATCTGATCTTCTCATGGCTTATAAAATTCTGCATGGCTTGACTACAATGGACGCTTCCAAATTTTTCGTTATTGTTCATTCTAATACTAGGGGAACATCGGCTAAGATTTCAACCGCTGTCGCTAGGTCCAAACCCAGGTCTCAGTTTTTCTCCAACAGAGTTCGCTCTAGCTATAATCTACTCTTACGCCGCAATCTCATCCCACAAAATCTCAATGCCTTCAAACGTTCACTTAGTAAGTTAGTTTGATCATTTTCTTCTCCACGTTTTAATCTTTGAGTTGTTTGTTTGTTATTTGTGCTTTGTATGTTTATTTGTTGTTTCTTCCATCGAAATTACATGCATTTAAGCATGTCCATAAATAAATAAATAATTTAGCATTGTTTGATAACTTTAAGCGCGAACTGTGTCATTAACTCAGTAGAACATTCTGTTGACTTTTGGTGCCGTGCTGAAAGACACAGGCCAGCGCTCTTGCGCTCTGTGGATGTCTGTATTCCCTATCCATTCGTTCGCGTTCCGCATTGCCAGCGGTTTCGTGATTTCTTTTCGGGGACCAGCGGTAGGCGCTGGAGATTGTGGATATCTGGTCAATAACCCAGTGTAAGCCACTAGAGACCGCCTTACCCCGCCCTCTACGGGGATGCGATATGACAACGCTACTATAATCGCCAACCCAGGTGTGTAGGCGTTTTGTTCATTCTTTGTTGAAACACCCTGTGGTCTCCCGCCCTCCAGTCCATCTACCGGTTCTCTTATCCTTTTTCTCTGGGCACTCGTCCGCGCAGCAGCATTTTACTGCTTGGGACTGTCGCCAAATGTTGGACCTTGTTTTGGGCGTCTTCTACTGTTTTCTTCCCTCCTTTTCTCAGTGACAAACCACTCGTTGTCTAGGAATTCAAAATTACGCCCGATAATCGACGAGTTTTCAAAGAGGAATGTGTCTTTCAGTCTGCGTTTCCACTTTGTTCCTTTCAAAGCGCAATTACTCTGCGTGGTACTTAGCATTCAATGAAGTAGTGGATACTTATTTTTCGTATAGGTTCCTTTGGTAGCTGGCTAATATTCGCCCGGCGCCCTTGACTGGTTTGTTCCTAAAAGATATGTTCTAGCTCCGCGAAAAGCAGTTGATAACGACTTCTTTACGCATCCTTTGCGGTTAGCGTCTGTATACCATCATTTCGCTGAAAATGGAGAGGTAACTTTCTTTTTGTCTAATGATTTATTTAACTTAATACATTGTTATTTCTGGTACTAATTTACCGCTACCCATAATTGAAGGCTTGGTTGGCGTGGGCAGGAGATTCGAGATTTGACGCCGGGCCGCGCCTACGGTAAGTGGGTCGCTTGCCACTGCACCAGTCCCGCCTCTTGGCTTTCATCCTTTGTAGAGTTATTTCGGGCGAAGATGGTGACGCGGCAGTTGCTGCTGCTTACCGGGGTTTTCCGAGAATCAAACTCGTGATGGGCTCCCGTCAGGCCAAACCGGACCTGTCATCCGTTCGGGGCAGGTAAATTGGCACCAGCCTTGTCAAGGTAGGATAGGATGCCCAACGTGCACATCGACCCCCGCCCCTTCGCAAGTCCCGTCTGGACCGTCTGGGTCATATCGAATCCAGTATGCTATTCCGATCCTGGATAGTAGAATGCTGGCGTATCCTAGTGGATGTGCGGTTTTGGTGAAGCTTCATTCTAGACTGCAGCTCAAATTTCAGTGTACATTCAATATGTAGTCCGTGGGATACCACATCACTTTCAATTACGCTTCATTTCTCAGAGCTGGAGAGGGCGTGGCCGCTTATTCCATTTGAACACGGCGCAGGATTCGTTTTTCATGGAATAATTCTGTTTGAGACCACTGACATCCTGTGTTGTGCTGGACGTGATGACAATTGTCTCAGACGATAACGTCTAAGCTTTGCTCAGACGTTACCGTTCTAGAGTTGCGCTTTATGAGCACGCGGCCACGCCCCTCCCCAATCACCAAAACATGCAGTAGGTCGGATCCTATTTAATAGAGTGTCTATTTTCTTTCAGAAAGAAGTGTCCACGTATCACAAAGAAGTGGCTAACCCAGATTTCATTTTCTACTCGATTGAGAAGAAGAAAATTGTCAATTCGGTAAGTTTCTTCTTTGGAAAGTGGTGAAGTTATGTTCCACTTTGAAGGATTTATCGGTGGACAACACTTTTTATAGGCCACGCAAGTGTACGAAGTTCCGGAACTGCGTTTGCTTCGTAGGTTAAGTTTACCTGGCTTTAACATTCTCCAGAAAACGTTGGGCCCGTGGCCGAATCGTTATGTACCGAGTGACCACATTCCACTTGTCGCTGATTTTGTACTGACAAAAACGGGTAAGTAATGGGCTTCCCATTCGGAAACTCCAGTTGATACTAATGCCATGACCTTCCCACGTTTTACAAAAATTGTTGATTTCTTGTGTTGTCGAAGCCCGTCTATGGAACCGGTTTGGTTTTTGAAATTGTTAGTTGAATTTGAAATGAAGGGTACAGCGAAACCTATCGGAGGCGGAGCGTCATATTTAATCTAAGGAATTTTTCCCGTATCACGGGCACTCTTTATAGCCTCTCCCATTACTAGTTGGCGTAGTGACAAGACTGTTTCTTCTTACAGTTGTGCGGGTACCACCCCCTCCCCCTACCTAAAATTCCAGATTTTCGGGAAGGTTTCTTAACAATGGAGTTTATGAAAAAAGAGTATTGACTGGGGGAGGAAATTGGGTGAGGTCATACTGACGTCGGGTGCAGTTCGGCGACGATGGGGTGGAAAGGTAGGGGGTATTGTGCACTTTCACCTGTTCACTAGTTCCGGTTTGAACCACCGCTCTGGTTAAGCCCGGAATTCTTGTGAAACTAGATCGAGCTCGTCCAGCTACCATGGTGAATGGTAGCCATCATGGTGAATGGTATTTGAGCCTCCCGCCTCCCCCCCCCCCTCGCCGCCACGCTGCGGTCGGACTATTTCACCCATCCCAGTGCTGTATTCTGGTGACATAATGAAGCGCGCGTTTTCTCTATTAATCTCTCAAATGGCAACGATGCAGCGCACGTTGTGTGAATTGCGCACTAAATTTTCTCGGCTAGCGACCCCTGAAGAGGACCGATATTTGGTTGCCGCTGCGCGAACGCGTACCTAATTTTCATGTATTACGGGCGTGTCCCGCTCGGTGCAGGCAGATGAATTTGTTGGGAAATGTATCCGGGTTTTTTTGTACACAATGAGAAGTTGTAAGAGAATTGAGGTTTATTGATGTTTTTGCATTGTTGAAGTGATTTTCCTTTTCTTTCAAATCAGTGAATTAGCCTTTGTGATGATTTTTAGTGCCTTTTAGCGATATAACTTCATTGTGATCTGCTAGATTTCTTCTAATCCTTGTGCGATTTCCAACAGTTAATGTTGAATTATTTACCTTGTGTCTTTACTCGAAAAGCACCTCTTCGTCGTGTAGGTTTGATTACGAAATTCGTTTAGTGAAGGTGTTTAAATTTCAAGAAATAATTACTTCAAAGTTGTATCAAAAAAGAAAAAAGATGATCCTGTATATAAACTTTTACCTTTTACTGTACATTTACAGTCGAACTCCGCCCTACCCAAGGGGTGGTCACGCCCCTTTTGCCGCGAACATAATTTACACTTATAATACACACATTTTATGCCACACATTTCTATTGTAAATGCATTTTCACACGATACACTTGACTCCGCCCCCGACGACTCCGCCCACTTATTCGTGGATTTCTTCCTTTCCCAGTGATCTTCGCACAGATATCTGTGCACATGTAAGGCA